CAGGTACTGTACCCAGTGGAAAACCCCCCAAAAGTGAACCGTACCAAACCGTACCGTGCCGTACCATGCAGTGGAAAAGTGCCATAAGATGCGAAACGCTTAGGTATGGACACGAGTCACAAATAAAGACCTCAAAGACTTGTAGAAGCAAGCTAAAATAGCATTTTGCATTTTGCCACAGGCACGTTTTTCTAATAAGCCTAGCTTGCCAAAAATGAATCTATGATCGACTTTGTTGCTAATGTTATCAGAATGCTACATAAAAAAATAGCTACATAAATTCTTCATACGTATGTAATATCTTTATATTATAAATTTACCTTATTATTTTCTTTGCAAAATACTGAAAAACAAAGACGGCATACCAAATATAATTTGTAATTATTAGCGCCACAAAGACGTTAACTGTTCTTTCAAATCGTAATCTTTCATTGACTGTAATTCTGATACACGAAAACAGAATGTTTACAATATTAAACCAAACGAGAAAGCCATGACAGTTTCTTGACTTCTTCATGCAATCTTCTTTCACTAGATGTTTAAGGGTCCTGACGGAGATATTGATGCCATCTTCACGGGCCCCTCATCAGCTTTGTGCGGGGTCAATCTCGAGAGCAGTGGCCAAAAGGAATACCTGATTACTGGTAAGAGTCAATTAACATGTTGTGAAAAATAGTGTTCGAGAAACAGCATTTGCTTCTGTAAACTGTAGAAACTTCAGTGGCACCTTTATACCAACACCATCTCTTTAATCTGCACAGGTAATATGGATTCAAATGGCACATTGCGTATAAATCTTTGCGACTACATTGAATCTTGGGAGTCTCTGAGTCTGACACAGAAAAAGAGCTTGGGTCAGCGCTACCAGATGGGATGTGATTGCAAGGTATTGCTATCTATCTATCCATCCATCCATCCATCGCTCTTCTGTCTTCACGTTCTCACAGCTCTTCTCTTGTCTTTGTGCAGGTCATCCAGTGTCCTACGATTCCCTGTTCCATTAACAACCCCACAGAGTGTCTTTGGACTGACTGGGTGCTGGAGGGAACAGTTCAGGGTACACAGGCTCAGCACTACACCTGCATTAAGAGGAGTGACAGCAGCTGTGCCTGGTACCGTGGATCTACCCCACCTAAAAGAGAGTTCATGGACATTGAGGACCCATAAACAAGTCCTCAGCTCGATCTCTCATTCAGAAAATCCCCCACAACACAGCTTACCTGACCTTAAACTCACACCTTAATTCTGCAAATGCATTCTAGAGCTCATGAAACCTGTCAAGAACATGTTTGGGCCATTATAGTGTCAACGCAAATTCAAAAGAAAAAATATATAATATGGTAATATTTTTGTATGAATGAATGAATTAAAAAAAAATAATGAATCATATTTTGCATCGAGAAAATAAAGTTTAAAAGATAATAAAAATGCCAGTCGTCCAGTTTTCATTATGGTATTACAAATATATATTCTCATTATTGTATTGCAGTATTTAGATCATAGAGAATGAGAATTACAAACAAACTAATAAAGTGTAAACATTCAGACATGCTACGATGGGATGGGGAATATATGCTGGAAATATAATGCAAAATATAATGTTCTATATTTTCCTTTTGATTTTAGGGTGAATTGTGGTGCAGAAATGTATGTGTGATATTTTCCAAGGCATGACAGAATGCATACATTTGGTTGCATGTTAATATATGAATTGAATCTTACCTCTAGTGTTGAAATGACAGGCAGAAAAGTTTCTCTTAAGCACTTTGAGAACCCAAGTGTTTTTTTGCTAGATTTTTGCTCTCCAATAAAGAGGAAATTGGTTACAACATTGTTTTTCAGTTCCTCAAGCACAGCTTGAGCAAAGAGTTTTTCATCTTTTATGCTGTCAATTTTATTCTTACAGTGTAAAGCAGAAAGACTGAAGTAATTGTGCCATAAAGATACATGGGACAGATGATTAGAAGGCTTTGCAGACAAGCTAGTTTATGTCAAATTTCTGGAGAAATTGCCATCATAAAGAAAAAAAATGATCTTTTATAATTTGAGATAAACTACCAATCAAAATTTTGGACACGCTTGACTAAATTTGTGTTTCTCTGCTTAAATTTAAATAAATGTTACACCCACCCACACACACACACACACACACATGCACACACATATATATATATATATAGAACATTGTTTTTTGTCACTACATAATTCCCATACTTTGTATTATTTCATAGTTTTGACTTAACTATTATTCTAAAATGGAGAAAATAGTAATACTAAAGAACTGGTATAATCAGAATTAGTAGGTGTGTCCAGATCTTTGCGTGGTAGTGTACATCAGAAAGTGAATTGAGTTCATGGGTGTCTAAGGAATGTAAATCATAAGTGAGATGTAAATTCTATACTGTACTGTGCATATAGCAACATACATAGATCTGGCAATAATTTATGTATTTTGTAATATATACAGGATTTTCTAATTTATATCAAAATTATTCTGCTTTGAATGTGTCCAGAAATATATGCAGTTGTATGTGCAGTGTTGTTGTTGGTTTAAAGTGGTTAAATTGGTTTGCTTTTATTTTATGACTCTGCATTCTTCATAGCAAACTACATTTATTAAGAATTATATCTAGCAAGGCTTTGAAATGTTTTAGAGTTTTTTTCCCCCCCATGATATTTTTGTACATTTCTTTCGCTTGCGTTTCATCCTTTTTTGAAGTAGTGTGAGATTTCCAGTGCTGGAACCACTTGGGAAGACTTGTTGAGAGATAGCCTTTGCATGCCTTTTAAAACTTATTGATACCCATTGACTGTTATGATGTTCATGAATAAAGGAGCAGAAATGTCCACTGAACAATTAATATTTTTCAGTATCTGGTCATTAATATATGCAGCTCATGTACCCCCTCAAATGATGGTGCCCTTGTGAATGACCCTCTTAAAATATAAAGTCAACTATATATTTATGACATTATAAGAACATGTGTGCAAAAATTATTTGTGACCCTGGACCACAAAACCAGTCTTAAGTGTCAATTTTTCGAAATTGAGCGTTATACATCATCTGAAAGCTGAATAAATAATCTTTCCATTGATGTGTGGTTTGATAGGATAGGACAATATTTGGCCGAGATACAACTATTTGAAAATCTGGAATCTGAGAGTGCAAAAAAATCAAAATATTGAGAAAATTGTCTTTAAAGTTGTCCAAATGAAGTTCTTAGCAATGCATATTACTAATCAAAAATTAAGTTTTAATATATTTACAGTAGGAAATGTACAAAATATCTTCATGCAACATGATCTTTACTTAATATCCTAATGATTTTTGGCATAAAAGAAAAATCAATAATTTTGACCCATACAATGTATTTTTGGCTATTGCTACAAATATACCCCAGCGACTTAAGACTGCTTTTGTGCTCCAGGGTCACATATTATAAATATATTGTCATTGTACAAGACGAAAATTAACTTATTATTATTAAGTTGTATGTTTTCATAGTGTTTCATTTAAAGAACAGTGATTGTTTTACTGGCATAATCATAAATATTTATCATCATTTATATGATCTTGTAGCCTATAATGTTCTCACTTATCACTGAATAAGAACATATATAACATATCAAACATATCAGTTATTACAGTTTTTTAGAATTGCCTAGACACTAAAAGTGGTACTTGAGGCGCGCTCAGTCTGCAGAACTACAAGCGCATTATAGGCTACATGCTTTAAACTCAGTTTGCTATTGTGAAACAACATTTTTGCAAAACTCTAAGCTCAGTTCTCTACATTACACACATCATTCAAAACTAACAGCTCTTTTGTTTCATTTGGGAAACTGCCATCTAAATGCCACACTCCTTTACTGATGACCTACAGCCAGTCATCATGTGTGAAAACATACAGAATTTGTTCACTTAGAAATCAAACCTCAGTGTTTTGAGAAATTATTTTTACCCCTTGCATTTCTGTTTACAGTGTGTGTGTGTATGTATATCTTGATTATATATTATGTGTGTGTATATATACACACACACACACACACACGCACACACACACACACACACTGAATATGCATACAAGCAAAGTCAGAATGTCAACTTTATTTCTAAAGCGCTTTATACAATACAGACTGTTTCACAGCAGCTTCACAATAGTTTCAATTTCAAATTCTGCCGTAAAGCAGCAAGTCAATAGTGTCATTATACAGCTCAAATCAGCTCTGTATTCAGTTCAGTTGCATAATTGTGTAAAATCCATCAGTTGTACATGCATACTGTATATACAGTGTATATGTGCATATGCATGTATGTGTTGAGTGCTATGCCAAACTCCTGTGCTCCACTCTGAACAAGCCAAAGGCACACAAGAGAGGTGTTTTACATTGTTCACATCTGTGTGTAGTGTGGCGTGCATGTGGCTAATTGTTTTATGTTTGTGTGTTGAGTTACTATGCAAAAATACCATTTTTAGAAGAGTTCAAATAGTTTTGAAAAAGAAGTGTTTGCTTTTGGCAAGATGTGTGACGTTTGGCAAGTTGTGTGTGTGGTTTGTGGTTTTGTGTGTAGAGTTTTGAGAAACGAAGCCATAGTTTCAAAAACTATGTAAGCATTAAAAAAAACAAAAACTGTAATGTGGTGTGACAGTATGGAAGCCCATTTCCGCCACTGAAAAAAACTGACTTTTTATCTCACAATTCTGACTTTTTTTCACAGAATTGTGAGATAAAAACTCACAATTCTGACTTTTTTTCTCGCAATTCTGACTTTTTTTCTCAGAATTGTGAGATATAAACTCGCAATTCTGAGAACATATCAGTCGA